ATTATAAAAAATTATATTTATTACACTTTTAATTTATATATTTAAGATAAAAATTAGATTAACATTATATTAATTTTAATGTGAAAGTTAATTATAGAAGAGAAGGTAGTTCGATTCTAGTACTGGGTAATTCTTTTTTTCATAAAAATAAAATAAATGAAATTTTAAGAAAGTCCTTTCAATCAAAGAACTGATCGTCCTAGTGGCAAAACTAAATGAAAATCCCCTTTAAGTCTTGTGTTCAAACCTGAAGGTGACAACTTTAAAGGAAATTTTTCAAAAGATTTAAATTGCTCGGTTGAATGGTTTAATAGTTTGTATTGGTTCAAACAGTTTTATTGGTTTTAAACCTTGACTCAAACCGTTTATGGTATCGGGTATCGGTCCAACCAATTCAACCGATCGATCCGATCTGATTTTTAAAACATTGGTCACGTGTCACAAACAAGTCAACCCACGGGTTGACAGGTTGACTCATGTAATTTTTTTTGGAAAAAGAAATTCTCAAGTTTGCTAACTATTTATTATCAATAATAATAATAATGGCCTTATTTATTATTATTAACAAAAATTATTTTTTTATTAACCAATTAACCCTATTTATTGCTAATTATGATGGCCCAATTTTCATACCTCCACTCCACCTCACCAACTCACTGTAGAACTCTTTTATCTTCATGCTTTATTCGGTTCACTGCTCAAAAATCCCTAACCCCAATGTCTACTCACCCTCCACGGCAAACTTTGCATCTTCCCCTTTCAATCCTCCACATCCCTCACTAATCTTAACCACTCAATCAGCCACTTGTTTTAACACTTCCTCTCCCTCTAAACATTCATCTGCCTCCCTTATTCTCTCAAGCCTAATTCTTTCATGTTCAAGGTATGGGTGTTTTAGATCTATAATTTTTTTTCCACATTTTGGATGTTTTTGTATTCAATTTTCAGTTTCAATATTTGATTTTATTTAACTTGATTTAATTTGAAATCCTATTCTATTTTTATCTAAAGATAGATTTTATTTTATTGGATTTTATCAATTTTTTGTTAATTTTATTCCACTTCCTTATTGTTTTGATTTCATTTTATGATTTTTTTACGTGGCTTACAATATTGCCTCATCTCCATTTTAGTTTTTGATTTTTAACTTTTTTCCTTATTTAGTGACTTACAAAAGCATCAACCCACGGGTTAACCCATAAGTTATTAAGGTCGAGTTAGGGTTGGTTTTTCTTAACCCGTGACCCGTTGGCGACCTAACCCGTATAACTCGTCACTCAAATTGATCCAACCCAAACCCAACCCGCTCGTTTGCCAAGTCTAGCTGAGGTGGTGGGGTATGGAAGGAGTGTTGCCAAATACATTAAGGAGAATGGCTGATTATCTTTTGTTTGGTTTGGGAAAAAGTGTAGGAAAAGAAATGGTTCTTGTATTTCTCTGTTGATATCTTGGTGTATATGGAATTGGAGAAACACTATAGTGTTTAAAAAGAGGAAAAATTTGGGGAAAAGGTGCTAAGTGCTGCATAGGCTAAATCGTTTGTATGGATTAAGCACAAGATGGAGGGGTGTATTTTCCCATTTCAAGAGTGGTTGTCAGGACCGTATGAGTGTGCAGTAGAAGTAAGAAGGTATAAAAGTTGTGTAAAAAAATTTCATTAATAGCAAAAATTGCATGAATGATTTGGTTAATGGGTAGTGGCATGGATTTGCTACCTTGTACAATGTCTTTGAACTGGGTAAAGTATCTATTGTACCCCAATTGTAATAAAAAATTTTTGTTTTGCTCATCAAAAAATTATGACTTGTGTTTATTTGACCGACATGCTTTTTTTTTTTTTTTTTCTAATTGAAAAATATAAATAGGGTGAATAAAATTAATTTTGTTTTCTTGCTTAATGCTTTTCTACAAGGGGTTGTACCATAAATTGGCATATTTTATCACTATAGTAATTTTTTATGGCAAAACCCTACATTAACTCCAAATTTTTTATTAAGCCACTAAACTTTTGTTAAAGCAAATAAATTCTTAGACTTAATGATTTAGATAAATTAACCATTTCTTTTATGATAGATTTAACACACATTTGTGCTTTACTTATGTGGACAATGTTAATATTCACCATGTAAATAATGACATGTCAATACTTTACTCACGTAAAGTATAAACAAGTATTAAGTCTATTATATAAAAAAGAAAGTGGGTTAAATTGCTTTGATTACTAAGCTTAGAAACTTATTTATTTTAATAAAAGTTCAAGAGTTTGAAAATCTGGGATAAGTTTGGTAGTCAGGGTTTTGCCTAATCTTTTTAGGTTTAAGTACCATTTTGGTCCCTCAACTTTTCACTTTGGTAGCAAAATTGTCCCTCAACTTTAAAAAGTACTAAAAATATCCTTAAACTTTCATTTTTGTACCAAAATGATCCTTCCGTCAGTTAAGTGACAGGTGGCAACGTTAAAATGCCACAAAATCACACTTTTAAAAAGGTAATAATTACGTGGAAAACAAATCATACGAAAAGTGATGAAATGGCAATTTTTCTTTTTCCATGTGGCATATTTTTTCTATTTAAATAAAAAACTCACATAATATAATATAATATATTATATTGTTCATCTTCTTCCTTCATTCTTCTCTCTCATCCCTCCGGCTCTTCCTCTTTCCCAGCCTTCTTCCTCCTCTTCCATCCCTTTTTCCTCTTCCTCTTTTTCCTTCCTCCTTCGACCTTTTTCTTGTTGTTTCTCTCTCCCCTTTCTTCATCTTCCTCTTTCCCCTTCCAGATCTACGTGGGTTCTCCCTTGAGAACTCAGATCTAGGTTCTCTCTCTAAGAAAGAACCCAATTTTCAGTTCTAAGAAAACCATTCTCCATGAGAGCCATGGATCGATGATGGACATAATCGATTGAGCCAAGGATTACAAAGATTTGAGCCTTTCGACATTAATTGCAGGAACCCAGATCTGGGTTGTTTCCATACAGGCTAAGTTTTCTTGCTTTCTTTTTCTTTTTTGGTGTGTGTTTGGTTGCCATGAAAGATTGGTTTTTTGGGTATTCACAGATTCTTAGGAAACAGAATTACAAACAATGAATGGCGTAGGAATTCTTTGACCTTGGTGATGAATTGGAAGGCAGCGTCGCGATGGAGGAGAGAATCGAAGGAGGGGATCCGAGTGGAGTCTGGCTGGACAAGGCAGATGCAGAGGGAATCGGGTTTGAGAAAGTTTGGGTCTGTGCTTCTTGGGGATTTTAGTGATGAGAAAGGAGGTGGAAAAAGGAAGGTGTTTTGGGAAGTTAGGGTTAGGGTTTAATAGTGGTTTGGAGAAGATGAGGCGCGGAGCCACGGAAATCGGCTATGGAGTTCGGGTACCGTTTGAGTCATTAATTTTGGTAAGAACAAAGATTTGGGTTGGAGCAGATCAGGAAGAGAGAAGGGTCGAGATTATCATATAAAAGGATGTTGGACAACACCGGTGATCGTGGGTGGTGCCGATGTGATGTAGGTAATTTATGTGTGAAACCCAGATTTGAGTTTGAGAAAAACCCAGATCTGGGTTTGAAAGAAGATCTAGATTTCGGATGGCCGCAAAAGGCACACCAAGATCGCGTCACTCATGCTCTCCGCTTGCTGAGTGAACCATTCATCGGTGCCAAGGAAGAAGCCTAGGAAAGAAGAAGGGGTGAATGGATGACAGAGACGAAGGGAGGAAGAAGAAGATGAATAATCTAATATTAAATTATGTGGGTTTTTATTTAAATAAAAAAAATTGCCACATGGAAAAAGAAAAAAGCCATCTCATTAAGTTATTTTCCACGTAATTATTATTTTTTTAAATGTGATTTTGTGGCAAGATAACGTGCCACCTGTCATTTAACTGACAAAAGGATGGTTTTGGTATCGAAAATGAAAGTTAAAGGATAATTTTGGTACTTTTTAAAATTGAAAGATAATTTTGGCATCAAAATGAAAAGTTGAGGGACCAAAATGGTACTTAAACCATCTTTTTATTCAAAAGTCACACATAAACCATTATGCATTTATCTATTCAATTCATGATTATAGTTTCTGTAATATTCCAAAATTTCAGAAATTTTAGAAATATATGTATGTACATGAATAACCTAGTACACGTGAATTTAAATTGAAGTTAGGGACTTATGTGGTAGAAATTATTATTGCTGGGCTTAATGGTTAAAATTTTCAAATCTAAGTGGGGATACAAGAAAATCTGGTATTTAAGGGGCTAAAGCTGATTTTCCTTTTTCTCCTTGCCCATTTTTTCATGATTTCCCCCTCAACAATCATCAGAAAATTCTTACAAGCCCTGGCTATGTGCCTAGCTTCTTCCCATTAAAAACAAGGTGAGACTTAGCTTTTCTTACCTTCTCATAGCAAGATTTAGAGATTTATGAGCTTATGGTTCTCAAAATTGTGATTCAAAACCAAATCTTGGTATTGCTTCCCCAAATTTTTCCAGTTCATGTCAGGTTCTTGTGCAATGTAAGGGAGGTTGCTATTTTTCAGCATTTTTCAATAAGAAATTAGCCATTTTGCTCGTCTTTTCTTCCTTGATTTGTATTGGGTTAACTCAAATGGTTTAGGGTTTTCAATTTGGGATTTTTCTATAGTTTTCCTCCTTGGTTTTGCCTTGATACCACCAGATCTGATCTCTTTTGGTAGAAATTCTGACAGCATGACCTTGTAATAGTTTTTTACCCATAAGTTTTTTTTAGATATCGAGTTGAGTTCATTCTTGATTTTGTAGAAAGTTAAGAGATAGCCCTACAATTTTTATGTTGGACATTTAACCCAGTTAATATATTTTCATGGTGAAAACTCTACTCCAAATTCGATTCTTGCAGGCAGATAGAACTGGTGGTCCGACCCTAAGTTAGTTTTTTGGCCATAACTTTATTTGTAGATGGTGGGTTAAGGTGATTCTTGATCCTATAGAATGGTAAGACATATGGTTATAATTTATCTATTGACCACTCAAACCAGATTGGTCAATTTCTGGGCTTGAATTTTGTTGGAAGTTCTGATTCGAAATCTGACCAAAATTGCTCTCAAAAGTACCTAGAAATTTGCTCTATTTTTTGCTTTATTCCCACTGTACCTACTACCATATTGCATCATGATTTTACTAGACTTTTAGCTATTGTTTTCCTGCTCTAAAACCCTTTATTATTGCTTTATTTTGGCTACCCTTTTTACTGCTCCTTTTCTGCTTAAATGCTGTTCATTTCTGCTTCGTTCTAACTTGTGTTCTACCCTGTTTTTGCTACTGTCTTTTTGCCTAGAAATCCCTGCTATTCAGGGCTTATTCTAAACATTTTGGACATGTTTTAAATGGCAAAAACCCCCCCCCCACCTTGCTGCCCAGAATTTTTGTTGTGTCTATAACAGTTTTAAGCTCAGTTTCTCACACTTTTTTCTAGATTGTTAAACACTCGCATACGTCAACATATATTTCTGTAGGACAAGTTCATCTTGCCAGTGGGAGAGTACACTGGTATTTTTGCTATCTAGCCAGTGGGAGAGTACACTAGTACTTCTGCCATCCAACCAGTAGAAGAATACATTGGTATTTTTGTTATCTAGCCAATTGGGAGAGTACACCGGCTGTGACTAATTGAGGAGACCACAAAATAAATTTCAATATGAAAAAATGATTTATAACTGAGATTTTCTTTCTGTTTAAAAATTTAAATGTTTACTTGGCATGCTTTAAATTTTAGTGAAGATTATCCATATTTTACTTATTGAGTTATCTAATATAGTTTTCCTCGTTCACTATTTTAGGTACTAAAACCAAAGACATAGGAAAACCGAGGGGAGTGACGAGCTAAAAGGCTAGTCATTTGTTTTTCAAACTTAGATTATCTTGGAGTTAAGCTAGCCACTTGTATTTTTGAACATAGATTTTGAGATATAAATTATTCTTTTGTAAGCTAAGCTTTATTTTGAGATTTGTGTAAATTTGTTCCGTGGATTACTAAATATGAATTAAGTAGGTTTCGAGCTTTGGGCATTTGTGAGACTTTCTCACAAGTGTATGACATCTATTTAGCTTTCGGTTTTGAGGCATGACACTTTTAATCAAAAAAATTTACAATTGTAGTATTATATATAAATGGTCAAAAATGATATAATTAGAATGTTATATAATATAATAAATTTATAATTATTTTATGTTAAAATAATTGAGTCTTTTATTTAAAGATTATGTGTGATATAATATGTATTTACCAATTTAGTACCATATTAAATACTTTATCCATTCAACTTTATTAGGTTTAGTTTTTTTGTCTAATAAAATAAAAATATAATAATTAATGGGTTTGTAATTTTATAATTTAGCATAGTTTGGAATACAATATAGTTTTTTGATAATTAGTTAATAAAATTTCATATTTATTTGTAATTAATTATGAATTAAAGAAGCCTTCATATCTAAGTATATATTATGATTATATTTAAAAATAAAAATAAAATAAAATAAATGTATTAAATAACATATTAAATATCCATCTTTAAATAATAATGTACATGTTCTCTATTCTTTAAGAAAATAGAGTTTGTATCAGAGGCAAGTTCTGGCTAGAAAAATGAAAAAAAAAAAATCACAACCTCATTAGCTATTAATGAATATGAAGTATTGGATAAAAAAATTATTAAAAATTATCTTTTAATTATATGTTTTTTTAATAGTGTAAGAGTTAAAAAAAGGGAAAGAAAACCGTTTTAGCAAAACTATTCCTATTCATCGTGGTCTCAACTGTTTCTAATTCGGCCAGCCCCAATTGGAGAACAAGGTCCCCTAAATGTTTCATAAATATTTAATTAGGACTTAACTCGGCTCTCAGCCAAAACTTTTGACTTCTTCTGCCTCTGCTTAGGCAACCACGGCCTACTTAATTTACATAATTATGTCAAATTCGTATTAAGTTTAAGATAATCAACACTAGTATTCAACTCCAAATTTTTAGTTTTGATTTCAATTTCAAGACCAAAACGAAAACAAATTTATGATTTTTTTAGGTTTCTTATCTAAATCTTTCATTATTATAAATTTAGTTTTAGTTTTAGCCAATAATTGTCAATCATATTGTACAATATATCAACACTGGGTGAGAGAATAAGAGACACAAACATGAAAAGAAAATGTAAGAAGGTAGACAAATTGGAAGAAAGACATGAATTTGAAATTTTAGTTTTTGACTTTTAGATATATTTTAAATTTAAATTCTAGATTATATTAACAAAATTTATAAATGACACTTGATGATAAAATTAAATAAGATTACTCTTATATTTATTTAAAATATTCAAATAACAACTATTTATTTATAAATATTGAAATTTATTTTCCAATTATGTGTTTAGTTTTTATTTTCAAACCCCCTAACCAAAAACCATTTAAATTGAATTATTTGCTTAATTTTTAATTCATTTCCAATTATTCATTTAGCTCACATTACTACACAATAAATAATATAAGTAAAACTTACACGCACAAATTAAAAAAGAAAAAAAAAAAAAGAAAAGAAAAGCAATTCAAAACAAAAGACAATAATTGCAAATGGCATATGCCTAATAAGTTATGCGTACTCCCAATCTCATGGATACAAGAGCACTTCGTTGATAACTTTGTCAAGATTCATGGCCGATGATCCTGAAGGGCTCGCGGCGGCGGCTTCCGCCATCCTCTTCCATTCCAGAGCTTTCTTCTTCATCTCTCTGCCTTTCTCCTCCTCCATCAATTCTCTCACAAGTCTCTCCACTTCATCTCTCTTAACATCACTATTTATTTCCATACCAATCTCCCACTCTGTGCAACAGAACCGACAATTGGTCTGTTGCTCGGCAAAAAATGGCCAGCAAATCATCGGAACCCCGGCAGATATACTTTCCAGGGTCGAATTCCACCCACTATGTGTCAAGAATCCTCCGATGGCAGGGTGGCTCAGAACTTGCTCCTGTGCGCACCAAGTTGACAACAAGCCCCTATTTTTGGTCTTTGCCACAAACTCCGGCAGTAAAATTGCAGCGTCACCGACGACCAAATCAGGCCTGATGATCCACAAAAATGTCTGATTGCTATTTGCAAGCCCCCATGCAAATTCAATCAGTTGATTGGATGTCATAACCGTAATGCTCCCAAAATTCACATAGACTACAGAGTTGGGCTCTTTCGAGTCTAACCATCGAAGACACTCTGGCTCTTCCCTCCATAAATTTGATCCAATTTGCTCCAGGTCGTTGTCATGGACCTGATTCAAAAGAAGTGGCAGTGGACCAACGGCGAAAACAGGGGGCAACATTGAAGATAAAGCACTTAGGGCCCCATTTTCTAAGGCATCAAATGTATTCAAAACTATTGCAGAGGCCCTCTTAGCTCTCTCTGTCTCGCCCAAAATAAAATCTATCATGAAGAAATTTGGGTCAGTTGTCCTCAAAAATGAAGGCAAATCCTTCAACCTTAT